ACGCACGCCGGCGTCTCGCAACCGAAAATAAACTCACCGCATTTTGTCCGTCTGTCCTTCCTTCTCGGTTTCACCGTAAATCCGATAATCGTACTCTGCCTCTTTGCCGTTATCCTCGATCGCGAGACCGCGGGCATTCAGCCTCCGCTTCGAACCTCCAGCTTGGAGGTCGACCCTAACAACGAGTCATCTTTCGAAAAAAATCCTATCTCTCTCCCCCCACCCTGCCCATCTCTTTCTAGTCCGGTTGAACACGACCTCGTTGCCGATCCATCGTGTGCGTCTCGCACCGCGAATACAACACCGTTCCAACCGTTTTTTCGACGCGGACACTCGATATCCTAGAATTTTCTTACCAAACGAGCATCGACGGAAACGGTTGATGAAATGAACCACCACCTCCTTCTCCTCCTCCTCCTCCTCCTCTTTAAACCTTAAAAGCCTGTTGTACTCGATATTACACCGGTACTCGCTTTGTTTTCAGATAAGAATAAGAAAAAATGGTGGTGGGCGAGGCGAGTATACACAACATAATGGGAGGAATGGAGAGCACGGGCGGGGTGCGACTTCACAATCACAAACGGAAATTGAAGCAGAGGTATGAAGCGAAGAGGACCGGGATTCTAGACGATTGGGGGAGGGGGCAGTAAGATTCGCGTGTTCGCTAAATACTTGCTGCAACGTACATAACGCGAGACGATAAGATAGTAGTATGTAGTCGCGTGGCGGACATCACGAGCACGCGAATCAATCCGTATTCCGTTTCTCTTGCTCACAGGTTCGACATCATCAAGAAGCTCGGTCAAGGTACTTATGGCAAAGTTCAATTGGGAATCAACAAGGAAACCGGGCAAGAAGTGGCGATAAAGACTATCAAAAAATGCAAGATAGAAACGGAAGCCGACTTGATCAGGATACGAAGGGAGATTCAGATAATGTCGAGCGTTCAACATCCCAACATTATTCACATATACGAAGGTACGGGCTCGTCCGTCTCGTCCGGTCCGGTCTCGTTTCTTTCAGAGATCGGAACTCTGACGTGGATCGCGTTTTTCCAGTGTTCGAGAACAGGGAGAAGATGGTGCTGGTAATGGAGTACGCAGCCGGTGGCGAACTCTACGACTACTTGAGCGAGCGCAAGGTGCTGACGGAACACGAGGCTCGACGAATATTTCGACAGATAGCCACCGCGGTTTTTTACTGTCACAAGCACAAAATCTGTCACCGGGACTTGAAGCTGGAGAACATATTGCTAGATCAGGTTGGAAACGCGAAGATCGCGGATTTTGGCCTGTCGAACGTGTTCGACGAGCAACGACTGTTGAACACGTTCTGCGGCAGTCCGCTCTACGCCAGTCCCGAAATCGTCAAGGGTACGCCGTATCACGGCCCCGAAGTCGACTGCTGGAGCTTGGGCGTTCTTCTCTACACTCTGGTGTACGGTGCCATGCCCTTCGACGGGTCCAACTTCAAACGACTAGTCAAACAGATCTCGCAGTCCGACTACTTCGAACCTAAGAAACCGTCGCGTAAGCGTTGCCTCGTAGCTCGTTGTTTCTCCGTCCTCGAGTAGCGTCAACGCGTTTTCACTGATCCCGTGTTTCTTCCAGCCGCCTCCCCTCTTATCAAAGACATGCTGACCGTCTGTCCCGCCAGAAGAGCCGACATCGAAAGGATTTGCACCCATTGGTGGGTGAACGAAGGTTACGAGCAGAACTGCTTGGACATTGCGGAGGACTTGGCGGCTCAAACTCCCGTTCGGTTGGATCTGCTGCTCTCTCTGGTGCCACAGTCCGCGAGCGCGGAGAAACTGGTCGTTGGGGACCAGCAGCCAGCCGCGGCGGACGTTCCGAACAACGTGTCTTCCGAAACTCTGATACCTACCAGATGCCATTCGGTCGGCAGCTTGATGGAACTGGATCAGAGCGGTTCCGATAGACGGATAAGAAGAGAGCTAATCGAGGAGGAGCAGAGGACTGCTCCGATCGGTGGCGACGCCAAAAGGAAATTGGAGACAACGCCGTCGATGGACGAAACGGCTGC